ATCCACTTTTTTTCTTTGTTGCTGTTGGGTCATGGGGCTTGACCTTAGGGCCTGGCTGATGTCCTGGGCTCATTTTGCTTAAGGCTAGCACTCTACCACATTAAGCCACAGCGCCGCTCCTGGTGTTTGGGTGGCTCATGGACTTTCCTGCCTGGGCTGCTTTGAACAGTCATCTTCAGATCTCAGCCTCCTGAGTAGCTATGATTGCAGGTGTGAGCCACCAATGCTCAGCTTAGGAAAGGTACTCTTTACCTGACTTATGTAACTGTAACCCCACTGTACCTTTATAATAACAAAAGTAAATAGAGAACACTGAGAAGTCACATTTACTGTCCTGTTTCCAAACTGCAGCAATTACAATCATGTTGGGGGTACAACCAATTTTAAGTTCCTGCCTCTGAACTTTTCAAATCGACCAACCAAAAGAAGTTAACATCTTCCAGTTAGTGTAAACACATGGGCTATCTCATATCCTTAGAATGGAATGCTTTGGAAGTCTGGAAGGGCACATTCCATATCCGTTAACACAGTTCTTGTAGCTCTAGGAACACATCCAGTAAAGTCTTACTCACTATTTCAACACTCCCATTTTCAAGAATGAAAATTATCAGCTGGTAACAGGGACAGGGTAGTGGGATGCAAGCAACGAACTGATGGCTTACATCTGTAATCCTAGCACTCAGAGGCTGAGGGAGGGACTGCCCAGCAAGTCTGAGGTTAAATTGGACTACAGTGACACCATCTCCAAAAAAAAAAAAAGTTAAACCAGTACCAAAATATAGTACTGCTTGGTATGGTTATGTATAGTGGAGAAATGAAGATTTAGCCAACTGTTAGAAGAGCCCATCTCCTATAGAAAAATGGCATGCTCAGAACACAAAAATGTTGTTTCTCCTCTGCTTTCAGTACTGGGGGTGTTCTTTAAAAGTCCAAAGAACATGTGTGAAAATACAATTCATTTTATTTTTTATTTTCTGTTGGTCATGGGGCTTGAACTCTGGGATTGGGCGCTGTCCCTCAGTAATTCAGCTCAAGGTGAGCTCTGTCGCTTGAGCCACAGCGCCATTTCCGGCTTTCTAGTGGTTTATTGGAGATAAGAGTCTCAGACTTTTCTGCCCCGGGCTGGCTTTGAACCGAGATCCTCAGATCTCAACCTCCTGAGTAGCGAGGATTACAGGCATGAGCCACCAGCGCCCAGCTTACAGTTCATTTAAAAAGCCATTACTGATGTCCCAGAGTTAAATCTGCATGCTGCGCATCACAAACCCCATCTCCTTATGAAGGAGGGCTAACCAGCACGGGGTCTGATGTTTAACACTAAACTCCTCTAGCAGAACAGAACTCTGCCTGTATTCCCAAGATACTTAATGCTGCTCAACACGCCCTCTAGTGGGAAGCCCCCCAAACAACCTGTTATTAGCAGAACATTTTTTTTAAAAGGGCAAATAGGACCTTTCCTCTCTATTCCAATTCAGTGCCAAATTCCTTCTGGAATTCCAGTAAAACTCACTAGGGCCTTCTTTTTGGTGGAGAATGTAGGAATTCTGTTACTCTGGGCCTGCACAATGGCTGATGTTTCTTAATTTTGTCATGGGGCTTGAACTCTGGGCCTGGGCACTGTCCCTCAGTTCTTCAGCTCAAGGCTAGTGCTCCACTACTAGAGCCACGGTACCACTTCTGGTTTTCTGGTGGTTAACTGGAGACAAGTCTCACAGACTTTCCTGCCCAGGCTGGCCTTGAATCACGATCCTTAGATCTCAGCTGAGATTACAGGGGTGAGCTCCCAGCACCCAGCAATGTTTCTTAACAAAGGTCACAGTCTAATGCCACCATGTAAAAAACCTCCAAGACTAGAATCACATCTAATACAGAGGTGCAGTCTGTTTGGACTTAATTTATAAAATGAAGTCTGGTCAGTTTCCAAGATGTTGTTAGGGAGAGTGGTGTTTGAAAAAAAAGAAAAAAGCAACAAACTTTACAGTTGGTGCTGGCAGTGCACACCTGCTGTAATCTAGCTACTCTGGAGGCTGAGATCTGAGGACTGGGGCTGGAAGCCTGTAGGGGCAGAAAAGTCCTTAAGACTCCATTTTCCAGGTGCTACTGAAACTAAGAGCATATGTGACAGCCTAGAACACACTGTATTTTCTGTTTTTTTGGCAGGAAGTACAGGGGAGAGTGCTTGATTTTAGTTTTTCTCAAGTGCACATTACTAATTCCAATTGAATTTCTGGGTGGTAGAGAAATGACACTGAAATAACATTCCCAAAGAAGAAAGTGGTTTGGATTTCACTGAAAATGCTCTGATCAGTACTGTTTCCACATATGCAAGGGTTTCTAGATCACACAACACACTGGCACACTAAGATCCTGTGTTGCTGATTCTAGTTTTAAGACTCTAACTACAGAACTGTCACATTTAAAAAATAATTTTGAAGAGTGCATGTATGCATTTTTTTAATTCCAAGAGACTAATAGCTACACATCTTAATATACATCCAGTAATCATATAAAACATGCATTTATAGACTCATAAGGTAGTCTTATCGCCCAGCCACTGAGTACAGATCAAAAGAATAACAGAGTATTTTTCTATCATCTTTTGAAAAAGGCTAGAGGGGAGAACTGTGTATCTGCGGCAGAAGAACAGGAAATACAAGCAACTTGACAAGACTAAGTTTATTCTATTATTTTTATTAATAAAAAATTAACCATGATCATATAAAATGAGTGGCTGGGCTTATAGTTTGCTACACCAAAGAAAATAAAAAATACTTGAGATCATGATACAGTGATTTATAATAGCATTCCTTGATAGGCATTTTAATTTTAGCAATATGTTTATCTCTTAAATTATATAAAACTAACCCTTAGTGTCAGGGACTACTCATCACAGCTACTCATGAACCAAAAAGTGTTTCCCAGAGGTGGAATCCAAACACACACTCAAGCCACCTCCCCAAATGATCTTTTGCTAAGTTGCCCAATCAGAAATCAGAGCGTCACCCACGCTCCTGTGGGAAGGGGACCCCATTTGCACCTCAAGTGTTAGGAATAAATAACACAAAGTAAGGATGCACCATGATCTCCAAATAAATTAGTATAAGTGCCACCGAGAATTATTAGACATAATCAATGTGTTTAAATACAAAAGTCCAAAAGATACAGTAATTTTATTACATAAAAATTCTCCTGTGTACTAAAAATGTTAACTTACAAGACATATATTTTTATAAGTGTAGCGGGATAGTTATGATGGAATTATTTCATCAAAAATTTTCATGACTGAAGAACAACAGGTAGTGGAAATATAAGCACTCCATCCTCTAAATTCTAGACCGTTATACCCATTCTCTAATAATATAAATGTCTGCTCAACTCATCTTTCAAAAATAAAGTCCATTTCGTTCTCCACAAAAGCTTCCTGCGGGGCTGACAAAGTATGCCCCATCTATTAAAATAGGGCTGTCTTCATCTTTGGATAAGGTGTCACCACGTGAGAAAGTATAGTCATAGACTACTACATTTTTCTCTGATACAGCAGTGGGGAGTCCATTAAGCACTTTTGAACACTGTACCTTTAAAAGTTTCTTTTTAATATAGCTTTGGGAAAAAATATCTATGGCAAAGTACATTTCATTCTGACTGGACAGCAGAAAAATACCATAAAGAAATGTAGTGTCAATTCTATCCATGATATCTCTTCATGTTAGGTTTTCCACTCTAGGATATGACTAACAAAAAAGTTTTGTTAAAACATCTTAAAGTCCTTTGACTTAATAGTATTCAGCGAAGACAAAAATGAAATTAAGCACTATAAATAGTCTTTAAAAATGTGGTTCTCATTTACAACAATTTCATTAACAGATAGTGAAGTATAGATACAATGTATCTAATACACTAATAACTACATTTAAAAACCTCTAGTAGCATTTAGAGATAGTGAAATCTTTAATACTAATATATATATGAAACATGTTCACAAAGAACCAGGACTACTCCTCCATGAAAAGAACACTTGTTAAAAATAATTAACAGAAACACCAATAAAACAACAGAAACTCATTGCAATTCACTTCACCCAAGGGTATGACACAAGATTTTGGCTTAAGGAGGTAGATTCAAAAGAAAAAGAAAACCAGATACTCCGTTCTTTGTCACTTTTATTCAGTAGTAGTTTTTTTCCTTATTTTCAGCGCCAGACATGGCAAGGAGTGATTACAGCCAACTGTTATTAAAACATTTGTTCGCAACATGTACCCCTTTACCACAGACCCCAAGCTGACTCCTTTTGTGTGCTTTCATTCTTTTTCTTGTTTTTTAATATACCACCACCGAGACCAGGTGGAAGGGGCTAGGTAAGAGATGAAGGGGGAGAGTCCAGGAGGCCAGAGAGGAGGAATGCTACAAGCCACAGTAAGAATGAGCTGTTTTAATTTAAAAAAGGGGAAGGGGTGTACCCCACAAATGATACAGTAATGAGGATACACAATTAAATCCCATAGCATGACTGAAGGCTTTCACTGTGTTTGACGTCATCACAATGGAAGGCATAAAAAGTGGAGTAAATCAATGTTGATACAGTCCAATAGTCTAGTCCATTAGGCAAGATGGTGCAAGAAGTCATTTAAATTAAAAGTGCCCTACCCTTACCTAAATGGCTAGCAGACATGGAGAAGCCCCGGTGGTGAATGGCACTCTCTCCATGCAGCTATGAGTGTTGTCGAATGGCACACTGTCAAACACTGGGAAGGGTGCCACAATGGACCCTTCTCTTACAGGTACGAATGCTAGACTCAGCTATCTCAACTAAGCAGGATGCGGGCTCTTCTGCTAGGAATGCCAACCCTAATTCACTTTGTCTTGAAATATATACAGATTGTTTGTAGTAGCTACAGCAATGATATTTTCCTTGGGGTGCCAGGCTGTATGAAGGATTTTCTTGTTGAAGTCTAGGCTGTCAACACTTATTTCATCTTTCTTTCGCTTGCCGCTTGCACAGACTTTGCGTGGCTTCAAAACTGTGCGAGGCTTATTGTTCTCTCGTGACGCTTCTAGGGTTATATCTCGCTTTGTGTTCCTGTCGAACATTCTGAAGAAATTATTGTAGGACCCAGTCATGACGACACTGTAAGAGTAGAGCACCCGGTCAGACACGCCAAGAGACTGTGGCTCTACTTGACCCTGGACCTACACCCCACAGCGAACACGGACATGAAACCAACCCTTCTACTTGAATACATCAAACCTGCTTCTGGTGTGACTCTAAAAACTCTTCCAAAGCAGACACATCCTCATTCAACGTTCTTAACTCCCTTGCAACTACAGACCATGTCATCGGCTGGATTAGCCACATCTTGAAGTACAGCCCTCTGAAGGATTCACATATTGCCATCTCCCTCACATGCTGTTCTTAAGAAACCAGTGCTTTTTAATGTAATTTATGAACTTTCTAATTTGTTCCAGATAACCAGAGTCCCCTCCCCTGCCAAAAAAAAAAAAAAAAAAAACCACCAAAAACAACAACTACTCATGGAGGCCGGGTCTATGTAATCCAAGATGTCTTGAACTTGAAATCTTTCTGCCTTGGCCTATATAGTGTTAAGTTTATAGGCATGTGCCACTATGCCTAGCTCAGCTAACCCTATTTTACAAATGCTTTTACTAATTCTGTTCATGATAATAACTGAAAATCAATTCTGCTTATACCACTAAAACTTTTTTTTAATGAATGAATTTTTATTATATATATATATATATAAAATGCAACAATGCTTTGACATATGTCCACATTGTGGAATGGTTAAGTCAAACTATTTAACATGTATATTACTTCACTTTTTTGTGACAAGATTATTACAAACCCACTCTCTTCACAATTTTAAAGTACATGTTAGACTGTAATTAACCATGGTCTCAATAAGAGACTTTCTGAACTTCTTCCTCCTGCCTAATAGAATACTGGAACATTTAAAATAGCATAGGGATATAACAAGTAAAATAGAGAAGCCAGGAAAAGTTCAAAACAAAAAATGTTCAGTTTCTTCAACTATTATAAATAAACTAAATAAATTGAAGGGGTGAGGGAGGAAATGGGAAACTCTAAGTTTAAATCAATATAAGAAAAATATCAAATACAGTGAACATTGTTTGTGTCCAGATTCAAACAAGCCAGTTGTAGAAAAGCATTTATGAAACCACCATAAAAATTTGGATGCTGAGGGGGCTGGGAAGGTGGCTCAGTGATAGAGTGCTTGCCTTGCATGCCTGAGGCCCTGGGTTCGATTCCTCAGCACCACATAAGTGAAAAGGAAAAAGCCAGAAGTGGTGCTGTGGCTCAAACGGTAGAGCACTAGCCTTGAGCTGAAGAGCTGAGGGACAGTGCCCAGGCCCAGAGTTCAGACCCCACAACCAGACCCAAAAAAAAAAATAAAAATTTGGGTGCTAACTAAAATTTTATTATATTAGAGATTCTAGGCATGTGTTTCTAGTTTTATGTGTAATCATGGTGTTACCACTAAAACTTTCTAGGCAAACAATTCCAATATCAGTTTAGCTGGCCCCATTGGCTCACTCCAGTATCTTCGCTGTATATACTTTGTGACTGAAAGTAGGGGGAGAGGAACCACAGTTTAAGGCTAGCCCTTGAAAAAAAAGTTTGATTCTCAACTGGTAGGGTGGCGAGAGGGCACACACTGCCATTCTAAGCTGTGTGGGAGGTGGGATACTAACTACTGTCTGTGGTTCCAGCTATAAATAGGCTTTAGGTAAGCAGGTGACTGACTACCCCAGCAGGAAGCCAGAACCTATCTTATGGCTGGGATTCCGGACAGGTATTTCCCACTGCACACAGCTCCCCGTCAGCCCTACCAGCTCACCACCACCAAGTGTCCTCACAGGCAGCACTTCTAAAGCCTGGGACAGCCCTACAGCTAGACTGGTACCACTACAATACCACCACCTTTCCACAAGGTTAAATCATTACTGTAACAAGGATTAGAAAACCTAGGATCTGCCTGCTCTGTAACCAAGAATTATCTTCAGTGATGTCCATTCTCCCAATGATCAAAATCAAATTCTGCTTAGTACATGACACTGAAGCCAACGGAATCAATCCCTTTTAAAAGGACTTATGTAAATCAAGTGGACATTCCTTCATTATAGGAATTTGTTAGTTTTTAACCAATGAAGAACACTTGTGTTTCTCCTGTAATTTTTAAGTTATTATTAAGCATTTCTGTAGCATTCTTGACAAAAATGTATGGTGTGAACTCTAATCCCAAGGAAAAACCAGCTAAGTTCATGTGATTCCACCCCCTACCCCCCAAGGCTTGAACTTCTGGGACTGGGTACTGTCCCTGAGCTCCTTTTGTTCAAGCCTAGCATGGCACTCTACAACTTGAGCCAAAGCATCACTTCCAGCTTTTTCTGTGATTAAACAGAGGTAAGAGTCTCACGGATTTTCCTGCCTGGGTGGGCTTTGAACCATGGTCCTCAGATCTCAACCTCCTGAGTAGCTAGGATTATAGGTATGAACCACTGGTGCCAGGCTTGTTTGATATTGGGGGGGGGGGAGGGTGGCGCGGGACACACGTCAGTTGTGGGGATTGAACTCAAGGCCTGGGCACTGTCCCTGCCTGAGCTCTTTTGCTCAAGGCTAATGCTCTACCAACTGAGATACAGTGTCACTTTTGGTTTTTTAGTGGTTAATTTGAAACAAGAGTTTCCTGGGGACTTTTCTGCCTGGGCTTTGAACCACAATTCTCAGATCTCAGCCTCCTGAATAACTAGAATTACAGATGTGAGCCACCATTGCCTGGCAATGGTGATCTCCCAAGTAATTACCAAAACACTGGAAGTGGAGCAGTGGCTCTAGTGGTAGAGCACTAACCTCTAATGAAAGATTAGGGACAGTGCCCAGGCCTTGAGTTCAAGCTCTAAGAATGGCACACACATACATACAAAAGAGCTGTTTAGCATAAAATCTATACAACAATCATGAAAGAAAATTCCTTATGTAGATAGTATAAAATAGCTGGGCGCAGGTGGCTCATGCCTGTAATCCTAGCTCAGGAGGCTGAGGACCTGAGGATGGCAGTTTGGAGATAGCCCAGGCAGGAGAGTCTCTGTGAGATTCATCTCCAATTTACCATCAGAAAACTGGAAGTAGAGCTGTGGTTCAAAGTGATAGAGTGCAAAAAAGCACAGGGACATAGCCCAGGCCCTGAGGTCAAGCCCCACAACTGGACCAAAACAAAACAAAAAACTATATAAAGTAAAATAAGTAACAAAGAGCCAGTAATACAGCAAATAGCACAAGGGAATCTGGGTAAAAGCGAAATGACTTCTTTTGCTATGTGACCAAATTTTGAAGTTTGAAATTATTTCAATAAAACCTTTTCCATGTAACGGAAATAATTCCCACTTCAAACTGTTTTAAACAAGAAGGTGATAGTGATAGTCCTGAACTACAACCAATTATATGTCTTTTCTCTAAATCTACTTAATTTCCTCTCTCTCTCTGCTTCTTTCCTGTCAGGTTCAGTATCATTCAAAGGCAAGGCTTTCTCACTGTTGCCCATAGGACTCTGTGTTAGCACGGCCAGCCTATTACGGGGCTTCATGTTAAAACCAGACAATTCCAGTTACAGAAAGTTCTAGTAACATGCCCTATAACACCTAATATAATGACACAAGAATCATACCAAGCTTCTAAGATGAAACTACTACTGAGTAAAGAACTTCTAACCGTGAATATTTAAATGATTTCAAAGTTGCTTTCTCTTAATTTAAAACATAATCAAGGGGCTGGGAAGGTGGCTCAGTGGTAGAGTTCTTGCCTTGCATGCCTGAGGCCCTGGGTTCAATTCCTCAGCACCACATAAGCAAAAAGAAAAAAGCCGGAAGTGGCGCTGTGGCTTAAGTGGTAGAGCGCTAGCCTTGAGCTGAAGAGCTGAGGGACAGCGCCCAGGCCCAGAGATCAGGCCCCATGACCGGACCAAACAAACAACAAAACCCATAACCAAGCAGTGAAAAAATTTACTAACAAGCCAGGTGCCAGTGGCTCACACCTGTAATCCTAGCAACTCAGGAGGATGAGTTCTGAGGACTGCAGTTTAAAGCCAGCACAGGCAGGAAAGTCCATGAGATTCTTATCTCCAATTACCCCAGGCCCACAGTTCAAACACCACGACCAAAAATTACTGACAATTATAACATTCAAAGCATAACATTCAAAGCAAGACTTACTAATTTTTTTGGTGCTCATATGAAAAAGACTTGTTTGATAAAATAGTGAAAAGAATTATACTGTGGCAAAACTGGAGATAAAAATAATGCCCTGTAAGCCAGGCGCTGGTGGCTCCCGCCTGTAATCCTAGCTACTCAGGAGGCTGAGATCTGAGGATCGTGGTTCAAAGCCAGTCCGGGCAGGAGACTGTGAGACTCCTATCTCCAATAAACCACCAGAAAACCGGAAGTGGCGCTGTAGCTCAAGTGGTAGAGTGCTCCCCTTGAGCTGAAGAGCTGAGGGACAGCACCCAGGCTGAATTCAAGCCCCACAACTGGCAAAAAAAAAAAAAGAATATAAATTACTTATGAGCCGAGAAGGTGGCTCAGTGGTAGAGCGCTTGCCTGAGGCCCTGCATTCGATTCCTCAGCACAACATAAGCAAAAAGAAAAAAGCCGGAAGTGGCACGGTGGCTCAAGTGGTAGAGCGCTAGCCTTGAGCTGAAGGACAGTGCCCACCCCCAGGGTTCAGGCCCCATGACCGGACCCAAAAAAAAAACAAAAAACAAACAAAAAAAAGATATAAATTGCTGCCTCTATGAGGTAATATCTCTAGGTAAAGTTTTTTGTTTTTGTTTTGGTCGGTCAGAGGGCCTGAACTCTGGGCCTAAGCGCTGTCCCTTAGCTCTTCAGTTCCAAGGCTGGCACTCTACCATTTCAGCCACAGAGCCACTTCCAGCTTTTTCTGCTTATGTGGTGACAAGAAATTGAACCCAGGGCCTCATGCATGCAAGGTAAGCGCTCTACCACTGAGCCACCTTTCCAGCCCTAGGTAAAGTATTAATGTAACAATAAATTATCAATACTTAAAGACTTCCAGTGCTGGGCTGGGAAGGTGGCTCAGTGGTAGAGCGCTTGCCTTGCATGCCTGAGACCTTGGGTTCGATTCCCCAGTACCACATAAGCAAAAAGAAAAAAAAAAGCCAGAAGTGGTGCTGTGGCTCAAGTGGTAGAGCGCTAGCCTTGAGCTGAAGAGCTGAGGGACAGCACCCAGGCCCAGAGTTCAGGCCCCATGACCGGACCCCCCCCCAAAAAAAAACAACAACAAAAAGAGGCCAGAGGGGAAGGTAGCTGAGTGGTAGAGTGCTTGCCTCTCATGCATGAGGCCCTGGGTTCGATTCCTCAGCACCACATAAACAGAAAAAGTCAGAAGTGGTGCTATGGCTCAAATGGTAGAGCACTAGCCTTGAGCTGAGGGACAGCACCCAGGCCCAGAGTTCAGGCCCACGACCGTACCAAAACAAAACCAAACAAAAACAAAAAAACTTGACTGAAACATTTAGGCAGATAAGAGACTAACAAAAGAGCATTATAGCAGTGTCCATTATCATTACTACTACTACTTTTTTGGGGGGTGGGGGGGAGAAGGTTGGTTGTGAGGCTTAAACTCTGGGCCTGGGCACTGTCCTTGAAATCTTTAGTTCAAGGTGGGCATTCTACCACTTGAGCCACAGTGCCACTTCTAGTTTTCCGGTAGTTAATTAGAGATAAAGAGTCTCATGGACTTTCCAGCCTGGCTGGCTCTGAACTGTGATCCTCAGATCTCAGCCTCCTGAGCAGCTAGGATTACAGGCATGAGCCACCTGTGCCCAGCCATCACTTTCTTTTCAGCTCATCAACTCCTGGTAAATTGTTTTATTGTTTTGTTTTAGTAGGCTTTAAACTCAAGAACTTGTGCTTGCACATACACTACCTTAGCCACCCATCCACTCCTTCTGCTTCAATTTTTTTTGAATAGAGTCTGTGGTTTTTGCTTGGAGTTGGCCATAAATCATGATTTTTCTATTACACCTGACATAGGTGTGGGCTAAAAATTTGATTTGTACCATTACTTAATGATGAAAGTGAATGAAAATTTCTTTCATGAATTAGAGTTCTATATTTACTCACCTAAGTATGAACTAGAAAATAAGTCTATTTAAAAAAGTCCTCTGAGCAGCACGATATATTTCAGCATCAGTACAGCTAAATTACAAAGGAAGTTCAAATGTTTGCTTGCAATGGCATGTGTGAATTAACTTTTCTTTTTAATGAAGAGAACCAACACAAGCAATAGCAGAGAACAGTAGGTCTTCCCTTTCTGTTTTGAGTGTCTTATTATGCAGTTAGTGTAGCCTCAGACACGATATTCCTGAGTGCACCATAATATCCCTGGCTCTAACATAATTTTAAATGTCTGGTTTAAGCATAATTGAATTAATTCAAGTTCTATCAAACACTGAGTTGGTATCGGTACCATTACAAACCATTCTCTACATAACCACTTCAAAGAAAAAAGCATGCAAATACCTGGTATGTTTCCACAGGCCGGTTTTCCATATTTAAGTCCCAAATTTTGACCGACAAATAGTCTCTAGTCATCATATAGCGACCACTATGGCTAAATTTTACATCAGAAATAGAGGAGATGATTTCAGAAAAAAATGACCTGTTACTGGGATCTTCTGGTTCTTCAAACACTAAAAATAAGCAAAAAGAAGGTAATATATTTGTGTGTATGCACACACGCACGCACCAATACTGGGGTTTAATTTACAGTCTTACACCTCATTTGGCTTTTTTACTCACAGCCAACACTCTACCACTTGAGCTAAAAGTGCTGGCTAAATGGATTCATCTGCCCAAGGCTCTGAACAACAGTTCTCAAGTTTCAGCCTCTGGAATGATTAGGATCACAGGCATGAGCCACAAGCACCATTTATAATTTCCTTTTTTTTTTTTGGTCGGTCGTGGGGCTTGAACTCTGGGCCTGGGCGCTGTCCCTGCGCTCTTCAGCTCAAGGTGAGCACTCTGCTGCTTGAGCCACAGCGCCACTTCCGGTTTTCTAGTGCTTTATTGGAGATAAGAGTCTCAGACTTTCCTGCCCAAGCTGGCTTTGAATGAGCTGGCTTTGAACTGTGATCCTCAGATCTCAGCCTCCTGAATAGCTAGGATTATAGGCGTGAGCCACTGGCGCCCAGCTCTAATTTCAAACAGATAAAATTATAGGCTAATAAAAAACAGGAAAATATTTCCAACTCTAAAAATTTAATTCCCTGAAAGTTTAAGAAAATGTCTGAATATTAAATTGAAGATGCAGGGTATACAATGCACTTTTTAGTTATACAGCTACTTTAGGAGAACTAATAAGTGCACCAGGCTAATCTGCCATCTACCAGTAAGGTAGATGGCCAACCATCGCCCTGACAAACATACCATTCTTTCCCACAAACTCACGCCAGGCTATCTTTCTAGTAACAATGTACCTGAATTTACAAGTACTCGTGGCAGAAAACAAGAATATTACAACTTCTTAACGTTTTGAAGCTAATATTTTTCTATCTTTAATTTATAAAAGCAACTTCTCAGAATAAATCTTCCTAGTAAGCTCAAAATGGAAAGGGGGAAAAGGGAATGGAGAAAAAAACCCCAAAGGAACAGGCTAGTTTCAGACAAATAAAATAATGCAGTTATAAAGATGCATGGAACTTACGTTTAGAGTGCCTGTCACAGAGGGCGGATGCCCTCATGTCACATAACCGAATAGTTCCTTTACTGCTGCTGTATACGAACGTGTTACAGCTGTTTGGATGGAATTCTGCTGCCGTAATCACCTCTGTGAGCTCTTCCATATTGGCAGGCTTGATATCCACAATATCTGGACAGCATTTTATTAAGGAACTCCACTGGGAAAAAGGCTAGTATAATCCTACAATTCTAAAACTAAAATTCATCCACAGGCCTAAAAGGTATCATAACTTTAATGCTAAAAACAACCAAGTCGATTTTTAGAAGACAAAAATGGGAAAAATTAAGACTGTGGGGGCCTTTCTAATTATGCGACCAATCCTAGAAGGCAACCAGGCATATGGCATGTCCCTGTAATCTCAGCACTTGGGAGATGTGAAAGCAAGAGGATCATAAGCTCAATGCCAATACCAACATAAAATTAAAACCAAAAAGGAAAACAAGCAAATCCCAGAAGCCATAGAAAACACTGATACTTTGTCAACATTATAAGAACTCCAAGAAGGTGAAAGGGGTAAATTGTACCACAAATAGATGTAAATTAATACAAAAAAGGTGTTAAAACCATTCCTCCAAAATAAGCTTTTCATTAACTAGACTGATAAAGGAACAAGAAAACAGCCTGTCTTAACACATGTTAGTAAAGTATGACTTTTGATAAATTTTGTCAATCTTGAAATGACTATTTGGAAAATACATTAAGTAGTAGTAATAGCTGCTACCATTTATCAAGATTTTTTTTTGGGGTCCGGTCATGGGGCCTGAACTCTGGGCCTGGGCACTGTCCCTCAGCTCTTCAGCTCAAGGCTAGCGCTCTACTACTTGAGCCACAGCGCCACTTCCAGCTTTTTTTCTTTTTGCTTATACACTTGTGTGTATATAGAAAAATATAGGGAAGACTATAAATAGAAGTATGATTTGGAAGGCTGGGAGCATGGTTTATGTGGTAGAATACTTGCCTAGCCTGTACAAGGTTCTAGCACAATCCTGGTTACTTCAGAAAAGGGTGCAGGATGAACAATTTCTACTGATATTATACTATTATACTTTATACCTTGTATGCACTTATTTTTCTTTTCTTTCTTTTTTGTCGGTCACGGGGCTTAAACTCTGGGCTTGGGGGCTGTCCATGCACTTATTTTCTAAGCTCAATGGGAATATTTCTGATTGTCCAAAACACTCATTATAAAGAAGTGAAATTTCTGCCAGGTGCTAGGGGCTCATACCTGTAATCCTAGCTACTCAGAAGGCTGAGATCTGAGGATCATGGTTCAAAGTCAGCACAGACAGGAAAGCCCATGAGCTACTTATCTCCAGTTAACTACCAGGAAACCAGAAGTGGTGCTGTGGCTCAATGGGGGCCGAGTGCTAGCTTTGAGCAAAAGAGTTGAGGGATGGCACCCAGGTTCAAGCCCCACAACCAACCAAAAGAGAAATTTGGTTATAAATACAAAAAAATTAAAATAAATCTATGAGTCCAATGAGCACCGTATTTTCTTTAGCAAAAACTGTTAACGAAGTAGCATAAGCACAAATGAAATCAAGTGGATACTGAAACTTCTGTCTGTAATTTCCAGATGCCAAAGATTTATTCGCAAATCATCTGCAGATAAATAAGTTTCATAATCACTATTAATAGAAATTGAATTGATGTGGTATGTATGAGCATTGGCAAATATTCTTCGTGGACTGGCCTCAACCATTAGATCCATGGGCCTGAAGACTGGCACCTGTTAATAGCACATAGAAAACAGAATATATAAAAGGTTAACAGTTCAGGACACACCATCAGTATAGTTTTTGAGACAGCATAAAATAGTGTATTTTAGACTCAGTTCTAAGAAGCAACAAAACTGACCCTTTATTGGAACAGGACGAGAAACAATTAGGAAAATTTATCTCCTCTTACTGGTAGCAATGTTATTACAATTTGTACTTCTTGAAAGCTATGCAAAATGATTAATATTTACAACATAGCACCCAATTCTTGGTATTTTTAAGCTATCAGCTTTGGTCCATTTCTACTTTTTTGATCTCCAAAGAAAATTAATTTTGCAATAGCAAATACAGCATAAAATAGTTGTGTTAGAGTGCTTATTCTATGGCCATCTAAAACTCCCATGTAGTTCAGCTTCTATGTTTAAATGGGCATTTTCATTGTCTTACACCATCACAAAACAGTTGGAGGCCTAGGGCCTAACTAATCGTTCCTATTTAAGTCTTACCCAAGAGCCTATCCAGAATAGTATAAACCAGTGTAAGAATCTTTTTCCAAGCACTTACTCGTAGTGTAGTAACTGTAGTGGGGTCTCTATACCTTCCATCTTCTTCTTTCAAGTTATACCCTTCTGGTCTTTTGTCCCTTTCACTGATTTTCCATAATTTTATTGTTTTATCTGGGGAAAGAATGAAGATTTCAAAAGGTAAGACGGGTAGAAAAACAATTTTATTAGGACATTTAAAAATACAGCATTTCATACTTCATTTAAAACTTTACACTTGGGGAATAGGAAGGTGGCTCAGTGGTAGAGTGCTTGCCTCACATCATGAGCCCTGGGTTTCATTCTTCAGCACCACATAAGCAGAAAAAAGCCTGGGAGTGGCGCTGTGGCTCAAGTGGTAGAGCGCCAGCCTTGAGCTGAAGAGCTGAGCGACAGCGCCTAGGCCTGGAGTTTAGCCCCCACAACCGACCAAAAACAAACACAATACAACAAAACAAAAACCTACTTTGACTAACTTAATAAACAAATACCATTATATTGTGAGTAAAATACATACAAATACAGCACAGAACTTACTGGTGTATAACATTAACATTACTCAAATATATTCCAAGATCTCTATCCTTGAAAAATAACAGAAGCTGCAGGAAAGCAATTATTCATGTGTATGAACACGTATTTCTAACTAGGTGAATTCCACACTGCCTAATGTTTAGAACCAAATAGCAGGGCACGGCTCCCCTGGTTCTCTTGCTTGCTGGTCCTGTCAGATTCCCTTCTAGCCCTGGGTACCTTCACTGGTCTCTCCTTCCCCATCATGGGTTAGTGCTTCCTAAGTCTGGAATAGGATATGAAAAGTATTGACTGAAAGCACATGGCCTCAATTCCTTCAAGACACAAAATGCCCATGTTTAAAGGTGTATAAAATAGTAGCTTCCTAAGAGTTAACTTTTATTTTATTCTGTTTTAAGCTTAAAGTTGCAAAGACAGCACAATATTTGTATGTACCCTTCACCTGGTTTCCTCTAATGCCAACATCTTTTGCAACCATGGCACATTTGTTAAGACAAGAAATTAACACTGTTCCCAAGTGTTTCACTCCAAACTTGTAACCTTTAGTCCTCAAGTGCCCTAAGCTTCTCTGACTCAACTGCTTCTCAATGGTAGTCAAGTACTTTGTAGAGCATCTGTCCCTGAGGCTCTTACTGTACTTTTGTCTGTAAATTCTCTGTAGGAATGAATACCCATCCCTTATTTGGAATTATCACTATGGGGGACTTAAGTGTGCTTATTTTATTTAGTGTTATAAAAAAAAAACAAACAGGGGCTGGGAAGGTAGCTCAGTGGTAGAGCGCTTGCCTTGCATGCATGAGGCCCTGGGTTGGATTCCTCAGCACCACATAAGCAAGAAGAAAAAAGCCGGAAGTGGTGCTGTGGCTCAAATGGTAGAATGCTAGCCTTGAGCTGAAGAGCTGGGGGACAGCGCCCAGGCCCAGAGTTCAGGCCCCACGACCAGACCAAAAAAAAAAAAAAAAAGCACATTTTATATGAAAGCATGATATCTTAATAATTTTTATAAACAAAAACAGGAATCACAAAAACAAGCTGCACAGCACATAATGCCATTTTATAAAAGAATTGCAAAAGAGGGGGGGGGGAGATGGGAAGGGGAAACAAAGGAGGAGGCAGCAATGCTTGGTAAGAAATGTACTCATTACCTTGTCCATGTAATTGTAACCCCTCTGCACAGTACTTTCACAATAATAATAAAAAAAGAACTGCAAAACAACTCCCAGAACTTAGCAATGTTTATTCACTTGTTTAGAACAATGTTTGTTCTCCTGGTAGATCACTGTTCAAAAACAGAGCAAAACTACCTTTAGTAACTTATTACCCCCCCCGCCCTTTTTTTGTGCCGGTCATGGGGCCTGAACTCTGGGCCTGGGCACTGTCCCTCAGCTATTCAGCTCAAGGCTAGCACTCTACCACTTGAGCCACAACCCCACTTCCAGCCTTTTCTGCTTATGTGGTGTTGAGGAATTGAACTCAGGGCCTCTTGCATGCAAGGCAAGCATTCTACCACTGAGCTACCTTCCCAACCCTTAATTTATTTTTCTGAAATCACCATCTGAGCCAATGACAAAGTTGTCCAGTGACAACCAGTTTATACAATGTGCATAATGGTTTCAACCTTCCACACTGGACCCTACTTTTTTTTTTTTGCATGTGTGCTAGTCCTAGGACTTGAACTCAGGTCCTAGGTGTTATCCCTTAGCTTCTTTGATCAAGGCTCCACTTGAGTCACAGCTCCACTTCTAGCTTATCTGGAGTAGATTATTACATAAGAGTCTGCCCTGCCAGTCCAGACTTGCTTCAAACTACAATCCTTAGATCTCAGCCTCTTCCTTGTTGGCCTGGTGCTGGCCCCATGCCCTTTCACTCAAAGGTAATGCTCTACCACTTTGAGCCACAGCTCCACTTTGTTTTCTGGTGGTTAATAGGAGGTAAGAGTCTCAAGGACTGTCCTGCCTGTGCTGGCTTTGAACCATGATATTCAGCCTCCTGAGTAGATAGGATTATAGGTGTGAGCCACCAGCACCCAGCTTGGACCCACTTTGTACACATAACCTACTTTGTACACATATAAGAACACAATCTCTCATTGTTTTGTTTACAATTCATTTTCACAACAAAGACAAAAACTGACAATGTATTCTACAATACTGGTAAGTATTTTGTTGGAATTCAGGTACCAAATGTATTTTGGAGGCACTTTTAATTCTGTTTACAAGTAAAAAGTACATGGATTCTGGCCCTTGACCTAGACACTGGAATACACAGCAGCTTCTGGTCCACACCAAGCCTCTGCAGTGCTGAAGCGTCTGATGGCTGTCAAAGAAGCATGATGAAGCCTCTATGGCAGAGCCATGCACAATAAACAGACGAGCAAGGTGAGTTTATTTTGATCTACATTCTGTGTAGAAAGGAAAGTTTCCTGGTCTTTTCTCTTCGCAGAGACTGCTCAAGGACATTGCTCTTGGGAAGGCAGAGTATCCATCATAGAACACTCACATATAGACAACAAAGGAAAAAGACTGACTTACCATTGGTAGACAATAAAAACTGAGCAGCATTTTTCTGGGGCAACCACCTAATTTTGTTGATCTTCTCTTCTATTTCTAAACTTTTCAAGTAGTCAAACTCTGGTTCATGGCTCTGGAAGGTACTGTAAACATTATATTCTCCTCTGCTATGAGACTGGATTTTGTTCTAAAATGGAAAAAAAAAAAAGATTTGGAACAACTGTTGAGAAACATTCCAAAGAAATCAAATAAGAAATTCAATCTCAACAAACTAAAAATAGAGTGACTTAGCTTTATCTTATATGTAATTATATTCTACTTTGTGTATTTAAAGATTTCACAGAATATAGCTCAAATGAAGAGAAAAAAGCTAACGGTAGGCTTCATTCAATTGCAAAAGAGTGGATCAATGATATTACTAACTTACTATTATGTATTAATGAATACAGAATCAAACTGATTAAGAGAACAAAAAATTAAAACTAATGACACAAAGAGAATGATCTAAAATTCAACACTCTTTCTCTATCCATTGTAGGGGAACAATTTCCAGTCTGCTGTTAAATGATGTTTCATATCCTTTTCCTTTTAGGTGTCTGCCTCTTTGGGAAGAGTCTTGTCTTTTTCTTTTTTTTCTTTCGTCGGTCGTGGGGCTTGAACTCGGGACCTGGGCACTGTTCCTCAGCTCTTTAGCTCAAGGTGAGAGCTCTACCACTTGAGCTACAGCACCACTTCCGGTTTTCTGATGGTTAAGTGGCGATAAGAGTCTCATGGACTTTCCTGCCCAGGCTGGCTTTGAATTGCGATTCTCAGATCTCAGCTCCTGAGTAGCTAGGATGGCAGGTGTGAGCCACTGGTGCCCGGCATCTTTGGGACGGTTCTTTCGTAAATACAATAGCTCCATTTGACCCCTATGACATACTCTTAAGACTGAAATCACTGAGAAATTTTGCTAACAATTAAGTCTACATTCAGTACGACCCAGCTGTGCCCCCGTGGCTCTATTAATAATGGCTGATCCTAGAATAGGAGCTCTTCTTTCAAGCCTTAAATATACTGATGATTTGATTCTTTTAGGATCAGTTTGAGAAAATAGAAGCAATTAGATAAAGACACTACACCTGTGAACTTCTTTAGTTAACACTAAGGCCTCAGCAAAAGGAGAAATTATAGTCATGTTTACAATTTCATCTTCACACAATTACAACTTTGAAAACACTGAAAAGTGTCATTCAAAAACGAAATCTATGGAAAAATGGTTCAAATTTTAAAAAACTTAAGCTGAGCTATCAAATAAAGTGTTTACAATTACTTAGTAACAATAACCTACTGTATCTCCTGATTCAGAGAATCATGTTGGAAGACAAGTTCTGGCTTTTTTCAAATAGCCTGCTGATGATCAGGATTGTTCACTCACATAGTTTTTTTGATCCCTGTGAGAGCACCATCAATTATGAGTAGGTTTGCCAACATTAAGAATGCGTAATAAAGCCAGGCTCCAGTGGCTCCTGACTGTAATCCTAGCTAATCAGGAGGCTGAGATCTGAGGCTTGCAGTTTAAAGCCAGCTCAGGCAGGAAAGTCTGAGAGACTCATCTCCAATAAACCACTAGAAAACCAGAAGTGGCAATGTGGCTCAATTGATAGACTGTAGCCTTGAGCTGACGGACAGCACACAGGCCCAGACCGACCAAAAAGAAGAA